CTCCCACTGACCCTCCGCCTGCCTGTCCCGGATTCAGGCAACCAACGTCCTCCCTTAACCTTCAAAGTGGCAGAGATAAATCATTCCAGTCACCTGACTCTTGAGACCACCTGTTCCAAATTATTCTTCATTCCCCAAATGTTTATAATCTCTCCCCCAAACAACAACCCACCCGTCGCGATCCAGCACCTTCCAGTAAACTCGATTTGGACTGCCTACCGGAACATTTTAGGGCCTTACCACTGCCTGTAAATTTATTGACTCTTTTTAGGAACTGAAATGCGTAACATTATAGTATCGAAGGAACACATCAAATTAGCCCCTGAAAATAAACATTTTCCTTTCCAGAACTGAACACAACCTGCCGAGTATCATGACTCAGAAAGGCTCATGTTTGTGTCTTCTCAATACTTAATATGATTCTTCTTCTGTAGAAAACAACAACAACAAACAACAGGGCAGATTCAGAAAATAACTGCGTTCCATGCATTTCACACCAGCCTAATTGGGCATCTCTCTCCAAGGGAAAGGAGAGCAGGAATGTTCTCTGGGCCGAGGTTTTCATAGCTCATGGGTAAGGCTCATTCTGCAGAGGTCTGAAGGCCTCGGGTCTGGTTTCACTCGCTTTGCAGCCTCTCGTGAGGCATTTGACTTAAGACTCAGTCCCCTTGTTAACAAAGTTGGGAAATGATGATAATACTAATTAGTAATAGTAATAATGTAAGAATTCAGGCCTGGCACACAAGTGTTCAATACATGGCAGGCATTTTCATCTCATGACTATTCAACACAAGGATAAAATTTGCAAATGCAGAGAAAGGACAGACACCAGTAGGAGAGTAAGAAAAGAGAAGAAAAAGCAGCAAAAAGGGTGCATGGGTGGCTCAGTGGGTTAAGCGTCTGCTTTCAGCTCAGGTCACCATCCCAGGGTCGTGAGATTGAGTCCAGCATGAGCTCCCTGTTTAGGGGGAGGCTGCTTCTCCCTCTCCCTCTCTCCCCTTCTCGTGCTCTCTCTCTCAAATAAATAAATAAAATCTTAAAAAAAAAAAAAGGAAAAGAAAAACAAAAAGCAGCAAAAACAAATTTAAAAGCCTGTGGTTTCCTTGGTCCTCTCTCTCCCCTGAATACACCTGGCGGGTACTTTCGTACCTTGAAATTGATTTTAAATCCCATGCCGTGAAGAATGGGTTCCTGCCCCCTCTGATTCATTTACAGGGACAAGTGGGTCTGAGCCAGTCACTTCAAGTATTTGCCACCTGATGGAGGGGGTTTATTCTCGGATTAGAAGAGGTGTTAGTTAGTCAAACACCATTAGGCCAGTTAAGATCTTCAAATAGCGAAAATGAAGCATTGTCTCCAGCAAGGTGTCTGCTAATTGTTTCCCTACCAGAATCTTCTTTGGGCTGTGTCTGTTTGGGACCGTTTGAACTGCCACTAACCATAAAGGGTGTGGGGCAAGGGTCATTCAGGAAGCTGTTATGATTTGGGAGGTGGGGATGGGGGAGGAAGGTGGGGACTATGCGTGAGTGTGTATGTGTGTGTTTTCTGTCAACAGTCTGTGTTTTCTCAACTCTGGGGTTAATTCTCTGTAGAGATTCCTTTTGAGCGGAATCCACCAACTCCTTTTCGAGAGCAGTTAGCTAGGGAAAAAAAAAAAATCCTCCCACCAGCAAAACCCAGTCTTGGCAAGAGTCACAAGGTTCAGTCTTTGGAGTTAACCGAATAACCAGCCACTTCACCTCCAGAAACCCCACAGATAAGGAGAACACGTGGGCAGGCGAATACCCCCTTTCTAAAATATCTTTGGAGAAGGGGGTTCTCCTGTCCCCCAAGGAATGCCTGATAAGGCCAGACAGCCTAGCATTTTCTCTGTGCCCAGGTGAGAAGCAGATGAGTTTTTCACTCTGCCATGGGAGAGAAAGCCTTCTCACCCAGCCTGCACACACATGTGTAAAAACACACACACCTCAGACCCGTGGCCACCGCCTCAAGTTGCGTTGCGAACTTCTCCCATGAGCCTTTTTATGGTAAGGAGGCCTGCCCAGCAAAGACAGAACCCTACCTAGACACGACTTCCACCACCCGTGCCCCATAGAAGGGAACATGCTGTTCGAGGTGTGCACGGATATACAGGGACGAGCAAATGTCTAAACAAGATATCTCCTGTCCCTTCATTCTCTGCTGACAGCTATGGGCTGTCTCTCTGCCGGACAGAGGCATCTGTCATGAGCCGCTGGGAGCCCCGCTTATGGACCATAACGGCCTGCGATTTTATTATACAAGGAGTTTATTGCTGGCCTAATTAGTTTCAAACTGGGCATTCCAGCTGAGGACACCTAAAAAACATCTGGTGGAAGAAAGCGGCAATGAGTCCCCGTTCTGAGCCGGTTACGGTTGGATTTCTGCATAACTCTGGTCTCTCGCGCCCGAACACAAGTTATCTTTGGAAAAGTAACCGAAAAAATAAGGAAATGTTTCTTCTTTGCGGGGAAGGAGTCATCTTGTCATGGGGGAACCCAAAGCAGTCTTAAAGTGGACGTGCTCGGACCATGTCTACCTTTTCACAAACTGCTGGGGTCCCCCTATCTGGCTTCCCCCAATTCAAAATGTACTCAGCTCTACCACAGAGTGCTTCTGCTGAGGACTTCTGCCCCGTTCCAACAGCAGCTAGCATTTTATCAATTTATCCGTCTGGAACAAGGCTTGCAATTTTGTACGTGCAATTTAAAGCAGAAGTAAGACCACATATTTGAAACAGCATGTCTTGGGTGTTTTTGCCAAATGGTAATCCTATAACAAGTCAACAAATCATAGTTCTTTATGATGTGTTTAATACAACACAAAAGGCATGAAAAGAAGACTTTAGAACTTAAGTGATGAAAGCATCTGGTTTTTAAAAATCCCAAAGAATCGGGATAACATCTCTTTATTTCCTTTCCTTTAGCTACTTAACGTTAGGAAAGAGACTGATCTGTTTATAGAGTACTCTCCTCCACACAGCTACAACACGAGGCGAGCTGTTTTGAAGGCAGAGGAAAAATGCCAAGTCCTTTAAGATAAAATAGCTAATATTGCGAAGCTAAAATTACAAGGGAAAAATGGCCTCACTACCAAGTAGTTGTGGGACCTGCGAGCAGCTTTTAAAAAGTTCAGGCCCTTTCGGATCTAGCCGTATTGGTCGAAAGTGCCAAACGTAGAGCTTCCTCCAAAGGCAAGGAAATTTTTTTCATGCAAACACAATTTTAGGTTTCGTCAAAAGCAAGAGTCAACTATGATCATTTACGACATCCTTCTTTTATTAACTTAGTCTGAGGATGTCTAAATGCAAGGAAGTATAATGTTTAAGGGGTTTAAAGATGGGGGAGAAAGTGGAAAACATGAACATTTCTTGGGTAAAGGTGCCTGAAAGATTTTTCCCGAAGATTCTTTTTAAAGGGAGGTCTCCCTGCCCTGCCCCCACCTCCCCAAAAGGCCCAGAGACTGGAAATCTGGCTATGACTTCAGTATTATTACTTTGGTAGTAGAAATCGCACTCAAGCAAGAAAAAGGCTCGTGAAATGAACAGATTTAGTTGGAAATACAGCAATTGTCTGCTGGTTATAATTTCCTTTGGAAGGGAGCTCCGTAACTCAAACATAATTCAGCACTCAAATCCTTACTTGATGTTTGTAAATCATTCTCCCTTCCCTCTGCTCTTGCTAACAACCAGACTCTGATGCTCACTCATTTTGCAGCACCTCGTCATTAAAAGTTACCTCCACCAGGACTGATTTATTTCTCGACATTATATATATAAAGAGATAGAAACAGAGTCAGATTGTTATATAGAGCAGAGGGAAG